GGATCACAAGTCCTGGTAATAAACGCTGACATGTGTTGAGGGTCTGTGTGCTGTAGGACCTGCAGGGTAATAGAGTCCTCTGGGGCACTGTGACAGCGCCTTGCCGGAGCGCTCACTTGGAACGGAGGTGACAATGTGTGACTGGCAGCCAATCTGTAGTTAGAACCAGTGGCCCAAATCCTCCGGTTCTTAAATGCACCTTGGATCCGTCTGGGGTCCTAAGCGATTCTGAAGGGTTTGGGCCGTTGTGTTCCTTAGGTTTTTATGTTTAGGAATGTGTTGTTCCTTAGACGCGTATTCCGTCTTTGTATGCAGTGTCATTTTAGACAAATCACTCATTGTGAACAGTCTCGAAAAATCATCTCTAAGCTTCATGATGTTAATTAAAAGATAGCCCCTGGTGTTGACTGGAGGTAGCTGGAGCAGGCATTTGTGGTGTGGGCTTGTGAGCTTCTGACTGGTGTGTTTCATGGGGAACCTTCCGGCCCTGGAGGGTGCATTCCCAATTAGGAAACCACAGATGTTAACTCACCGCACCCAGCGCGTAAGTGAAAGCCAAAACACATCTCCCAGTGTACTGTGCTTTTCATGCTGAGGTGTTTGAATTGCAAGCAACACAATAAGAAGATAGAATGATTTATGCTTGTGAGTGGTTTTAAAATTATAATAGCAAACTACCTTTCTTGTATAAAATTTGGCAAAATATATGTTCATATACATTAAAATTATTCATGTTACATCCTGAGCTAATTTGGTACAGTGGAGCCTTTTTTCATACATATGAGGATTCTTCAAAAAGTCCAGGAAAATGGAAAGTGTAAGTCTATTTTGGTGCAAAAAACCTTTTTTATGGTGCCTCTTTTTAAAAATAATATAGAGGCAGTGAGCATTATTACAAAACTATGCATGGATTTCAATGTTGTTTTTGCACCAAAATGAACTCACACTTTTCCACAAACTTTTATAGATATATAAGTATTTGCCCAGGTGTGTAGCATTTATTGCTTTGGGCTCTACTGTAGGACACTTCTGATCGCATTAAACATTCAGCTTTGAATCCTAAGCTTTTGTGGCTTAGCAAGTCAAGATGGTTTTTCTGGCTCATACAGGTTCCTTATCTATGTGAGTTGCAATGGTGAAGACAGATGGGAGTGGATGTTGAGCCCTGGGATGGGGTGTTGGCATGGAGGGAGGACTGGGAGACCCCTGAGTGAATGGGGCCCGGTTGTAGGTCCCCCTTCCCTAGGCAGCCCTGCCAGGAGGGAGGGAAAGCAGCTTTGAGGCTGGTGTTGGTAGCCAGCACATCAGTGTTTGCATTTATTTAGGAGGTAATTTCCAGCCCACCTCCTGTTTCTTCCTTCCATTCTTCTTGTGTAGATCCCTATATTGACTTCCTGGAGTAACTTCTGATAGAAAGTGAGATTTTTTTTTCCGTTTGAAATGTGTTTTGAGTGCACAGAGGTGTCATTTAAAAGTCAAATCCATGAAGGAATATTTTTTACCTGCTGGGTTTAATTTCCGATGCCAATGTTATCATAAAAGGTAAACCACCCTCCACTGTTTTAAAGCTTTGTACAAATTACCCAAGTTGGAATTAACTTCTGCAGGTGGAGAGAGGGAAGAATAAGCATTTTAAAGCGTTTTAAAAATATTATTTAAATATTAATGCCAGTTGAGTTCAGTTTCTATCCGACTTTCCCCTGAAGTCTAAACCTGTTTGTAGCTTTCCAACTTCTGTCATTGTATTTGGAGGTGGGGGTGGGGCACTGTTAGGGGAAGAAGGAGACCTGTTACAACATAATTGATCCTTGGAATGAAATAAGCATAGGATTCAGGATGAAACAGGTTAGATCAAAAGAAGGATGGCCTTTGGCAGACATTGCTAGAATTCGTTAACAGGGAGAGCAGAGCCTGGGGTGTTGCCTCTTCCTAAATGCGGAACCTTTGGACAGTTAATGAGTGAATCTAGACTTGAGTTTTCTCATCTCCACAGTGGAAACGAAAAATAGTACTTAACTTGTAGGTGATGTTGAGAATTATACAAGCAGATGTATGGGGAAAAAAAAAACCACAGGTGCTTATTGTTGGTTGTCTTGACTATTATAAATGAACTGTAAAAAAAATCTAGATTTTTAATGTGATGAAGAATAGAATAGGTGGATCCTGCAGGTTTCAGTCACCCATTTGGTTTGTCAGTTGCTGCTTCTTTGTTGGAACCTGTTTCTGCCCAACCTTGCGGGGCGGGAGAGTGTGGGAGTGTGGGCATGGGGAGAGACAGCAGGGTAAGTAAGGGTGTGCTCAAGATGGCCATCACCTCTGAAATGAACCTGATAAATCTTTGCTGATCACTCACTCAAGGCCTCTCTCATTTGAGCCGTATAACCCTTCAAGATAGAAGGCATTGCTTCTATTTCCAGGTGAATGACAGGAGACTTCCCTGGAGGCGGGGCATGGCCAGGTCACAGTCAGTGCAGCACCTGGATTTGAACCCAGATGTGCGGAACTGCACAGCCTTCTCTCCCTCCCCCACACTCCCTTCCCCTGAAAGGTTCCCGGGGCTTGGTCTTCAGTGTGTAGAGATGTGGGGGTGGGGGTGGGGGTGGTGGGGATGACACTGTTCTCAATTGAACACTCTGTTCAGCAGGATTTTGCTTTTTCTGTTTTACTTCTAGCTCACACCCTGCAGCCCTGTGGTCTTAGAACTGTTTGAGAAGAAGGCCACTTAGAACATCCTATCAGAGCAGTCACCAAAGAGAGCCCAGCCCTGAGAGTTGAGATGGGCTCCGTTAGATGTTTACTGCCAGCAACTTGCAGAATGCAGACTCCTGAAGCCCCAGAGGGTCGCCTTTGGTTAGACTCTGATTCCATTTATTCTTTTTTTTTTTTTTAAGATTTATTTATTGATTTGAAAAGCAGAGTTTTTACTGAGAGGCAGAGAGGCAAGAGAGGGGTTTTTTATCTGCTGGTTCACTCCCGAAATGGCTGCAATGCCCAGAAAAGCCAGGAGCCTGGAACTTCCTCTGGGTCTCCCATGAGGGTACAGGGGCCCAAGGACTTGGGCCATCTTCTACAGCTTTCTCAGGCCAGAGCAGAGAGCTGGATCAGAAGTGGAGCAGCCGGGACTTATACCAGCACCCCAGATGGGATGCAGGCACTGCAGGCATCAGCTTTACCCACTATGCCACAGTGCTGGCCCCTCCATTTATTCTTTTTACAGACAATTATCAGGCACTTGTGGGTGACAGGCAGTATGCTAAGTCCTGGGGAAAGCCAGGTGGATCAGTTGGGGTAGGTCCCTACCTTCTGAGACTGCCACAGCTCAGCCAGGCCCCTGCCTCAGGGTGCCTGCGAGTTCTGAGAGAGGGAAGGATGCACTCTGGGGGTACAGAAAGGGAGACCCAAGCCACCCATGTCATTGGGCATCCATTCCTCGGGAATCGTCTGCAACAGGTGGATTCTGCTCTGTGGAGAGGCCTCCGGGGACTTTGCCAGCGACATCATGTTAGGGGTGTGTAGCGATGAGACCCAGTGGTCAGTTGGGGCTGTATGTCCGTTGTGTCTTTGTAAGTCGCATGCCTTTCTGATCAGAAATTCAGGCGAATGTTCGTGGGCTTGGGACTTCATCTTTTAGCATATCAGTGTGCAGTCTTCTGCCATGGTCAACAGATTGTCCCTGTCCAGGCTGCTGGTCTGTTGCCTGTTTGTTCCTGTCGATACTCTTTGATGTTTCCAGATGTCTTCTGCATGTTGAAGATCGATGCTCTCAAGACCGTCCCTGTTGAGTGCTGTTGGGCTTCAGATGTCACTGGGGTGTGGCTGCAGGTAGCTGCCATGGCCTGTCCAGCCTCCTTTCCCTTGTGTGTCCTTTTCAGTCTGACCCAAGTGCCTTTTGCGGTCTCTTCTGCCTGGAACACAGGAGCCCGTCTGTGAACTTGACCACACACGAATCAGTCAGCAACTGTGACTGTCTTTTCACTGGGTCTCAGCACCTCTCAGTTGTCACATTCTTGGGGACCCTACAGGTGTTTTGTCTCTCTCAGGACAATGCACTCTTTTTTTATGTTTATTTTTCTTTTCAGAGTGATAGAGACAATGATAATTTCTATCCACTGGTTCATTCCCAAAATGCCTGCATATCAAGGATTGGGCCAGACAGAAGCCAGGAACTCTAGCTGGGTCTTCCCCGTGGGTGTCAGGGGTCCAAGCACATGAGCCATCATCTGCTGTCTCCCAGGGTGCATTAGCATGACACTGGATCAGAAGCAGAGTAGCCAGCACTCAGGCTAGCAGCCTGTTTGTTAGGAGATGCGGGTGTGCATTTTGAAGCCAACCTGTGTTCTCATTTTTTTTTTTTAAACACAGCATCTGGTTTGTGCTTTGTATGTAAAAGGTGCCAACTAAATGCCCTTCAAGAATATTAGCTCAGGCCTTAAAGCTAACTTGTTTGGTAAAATGTGTGTGTGTGTGCGCGTGCGGGGGTAAGGCATCGTGGTGCAGTGGGTCAAACCACCACGTGTAATGCTAGCATCTCATATTACAGTGCTGGTTCAAGTTTCAGCTACTCAGCTTCTGATCCAGCTCCCTGCTAATGTGCCTGCGAAAGCAACTTACGTATGTGGGTCCCTGCCACCCCATCGGAGACCTGGACGGAGCTCCAGGCTGCTGGCTTCAGCCTGACCCAGACCCATGGTTGCAGCTCTCTGGGGGAGTGAACCAATGGATGGACTAATACTCTGTTACTATTCCTTTCAAATAAATAAATGTTTTTAGAAAGTGTGTGTATGTGACTCCTTCAGGTTTTTCAGACTGTAATATTTACTGAGTGTCAGTTTTGCTAGGCTGCAGGGCTGCGCCGTCGTCTCTTGGGATTAAAGGAACCAGAAGGCACAGGGCAGGTGAATGCCCTCAGCACCCTGGAGGAGGTGTTTGTCTTCTGCCTTTCGCATCCATCTCCAGTGCTAAGAAAGAACTCAGCCCTTCCTCTCTGCTCTTCCTTTCAGAAAGTATTATGAGGGAGGCCGAGGACTCCACGCTCCGGACAGAGACGCGGCGCTGGGATTAGGGATTGCCACCTCCGAGAGGATGCTGGGAATCTGCAGAGGGAGACGGAAATTCCTGGCTGCCTCTTTGACTCTGCTCTGCATTCCGGCTGTCACCTGGATTTACTTGTTTGCTGGGAGCTTTGAAGGTAAGGAAAGGAGGGGACGTGAGGAACTCTGGTTGTCACAGACTCCAAGAGGCTTCTCAGAGCTGTTGGGTGCTAAGTTTTCATTTTGCAGAACAATGGGATATGGATGCCTTGTCACAGGAAATGACTTGCCTAGTGTTTCAAGGGTAGTCGGAGGCAGTTGGTATTGTGAGAAGGAAAACTAGAGCAGGATAAGGTGCACCTGATGCATTAGCATGATGGTGGCCGCACAAGTGAAGTTGAGCCACGTGTCGGTAATGGGGAAATGTTGGGCCTTGGGGAAGTCCTTAGCTGTTCCTGGGGCCCGATGTTCCCTCCCTTAGTCTATGTGTTCATTCAGCCGTTCCCACAGTAGGTGTTTTGTCTGGGCATGGAGGAGTGGTGGCTGCGCTAAGCCTGGTGCTGAGCGTAGGGTGTAACAGGTGTGGACGGTCTCAGCCTAGCAGAGAAGATGGGTGAGTGGACGGATGATTGTTGCACTTGGCGGTGCGTGTCTTGATGGAGGAAGGCAGGGTGCTGGCAGGGAGGTTTGTTGGAGCTGTCAGACCTGGGCTGTGGATGAAAGGTGATCAGTCATCCTGACGGGCTGGTCTTGGGGATGCAGTGAAGAATTGCCCTCCCCACACTAAGAAAAACAAATGATCATCCCTGCCACTCTCCAGACAGAACAGACAAGACTTGCCATTTGCTCTTCCAGCAACCTCAGCTGCAGTGCGACATTGTGTGTTTCTAAGATGGCTTTCCAAGCTCCAGGGGTGCAGGGAGTAGCGGTGGTGAAGCTCATGCTGTCTCTGTTCACCCCTGCACTTGAACTAGCTAAAAAAAAAAAGTGAAAAATCTGTCTCAAGGAAATCACTACTGTGTTTTTAAACATTTATTTTTTGCATAATTTTATTGACAGCTCAAGGCTACCTTTTAATTAGGAGCCAGGGCAGTAGACGGCGCGTGGGTTTTTGGCAAGGGGATCAGAAACAGGAAGGTGAGTTGATGCTGGTCCTTGGGAAGATGAAGAATTTCCCAGAGGTGATGGAGGAGTGCTTACCACAGAAGGCAGAGGGTACCTGCGCTGGAACAGCTGTAATAGAGGGGGTGGGCACCATTATCTTGACTACGGTCTTAACGGCTTGGCTGAGTGCCCATCCCCAAACTGCTCTTTTTAGCTAACCTTGAGTCTGGTGTCTTCTGTGCCCTGTCACAGAGTGATAGGGAGTTGTTCTGCAACACATGGGGTGAGATTGAGGGAGGGGTGGCCCTGAAGGCACATGGTGTGGACTCCCAAAGGGGAAAGACCCAGCATGAATCGTAGGGTGTGGAGAGGGTGTGACTGACTGTGCCTGTGGTAGGACGGCTGCTTTGAGGCCATTTGCTACCAGGTGCAGCCCTGGCCAGGGGAGTGATTGTGATTGTTGAGTTTGAGCGGTTCTTGCTTTATCAATTATGGGAAAACTGGGAGGGTCGAGAAAATGCATGGCATCAAGCGACACTGGGTACAAGCGTCTTCTCTGTGGATGTGATGTTTAAGAATGAAATGCCCTACTCTTGGGACCAAGCTCTATACGGCATTAGGCAGGGGCTAGGTGATGTGGGTACGTTAACATACACATTCTGGCTAGAATGGCAAAGGCCACAGATGTACCACAGCTCAGTGAGTCCACAGCTGCAACACAGCAGCACCTGTTTCTGGGCTCTGCACCGTAAGACGAATCTAGAAAAGTCAGCAGATGTAGGGGGATGCCTGGGGACGCCAGTGCCCATGTAAACCTGGTTGCCTAAGAAAGTGTGAAAAGAAATGGGGACCCTATGGCTCAGGGCGCCCAAACACAGCACCAGCCGTCCAAGGGCTGTCACCTGAAGAGATGAGGCTTGGTCCCATGGCCCCTCAATCTGCAGAGGGACGTGGTGGCAGGGAGTCGGTGTCAAGTTCATCATCATGAGGCTCCTCCTGCCCAGCCCTGGGAGGACCTGCTCAGAAGGTAGTGAACGCCTCAGTAGGAGAGATGCACACACAGCAGTGCAGTGTCCAAGAAGGGTGTGGAGCACCGGGGCAATTGGACAAGGTGACCTGCCTGACCCCGAGGCCCCAAGACACTTGGCTGGGTTTTTATCAGAAGACAAAAGGTGACCCCTGCCAGTGGCTGCAGCCACCCGTGCTTTTCCAGAGGGGCCCGCGGAGACATCCTCCTCTCTGTAGTTACACTTCACACGCTGCAGTCCCTTTATCGGCCCCTTTGAGTTTTTGGTTTCATGACAAGTGAAGCCAAAAAGAAGGCACAGAGTTGCTCCGTGTATTCTTGGAAATGCTATTCATATTTTATGTGAGTCCATTTGCTTTCCACCCTGGTTTAATGCCAATCGATCTTCTGAGAGCAGAGCCAGGAACTCTGTCCAAGATGCAGATGCTGGCATCATGCATCCTGAAGTTGAGTCCACGCAGCGGCTCGGCGCATTGAGTGAGCGCTGGACAGCGGCAGGTGTCACAGGGTCTCACATCAGCTCAGCCAGAGGAGCCGGCTGGTTTGGGGCACAGTTGCTCCCCTTTCTAGACCTTCGTTTCTTCCAAAGAAGAGAAGTTGTCACAACGAAGCCCACCTTTGGGACACACATGTTCTACAGACAAGTTCAGAATTCTAAGCCTTTGGTGTATGCGAACTGGAAACAAGCAGAACCCTCCCCAGTTAATGGGAAGTAGAACGCAAGAGGGAGCAGGCTGGTTGTGCTTTGTTCCTGAGTGTGGAACCATGGTTGTTAGCATCAGTTCTCTTCTCACCATCGGAGTGTAGGGCGTGGAGTTTACCTCCTGGAAGAGAAACAGATTCCTGTTCCCAGAGCCATTTGTCGCAGCCCACGGGACCATCGGTGAAAGACATTAAACAGGGTGTTTTGTAAGCACTGAGCTCCTAAACCCAACTTCTTCATCTCTTCCCCATCCACCTGCCTTCCTCTGCCACCTCGGTTAACCTTCCCAGGTGCAAGCCCTCCAAGCGGTAAGCCTTGGTGTGGTTATTGTCTCTCTCCCGTCGGCTGCCTTCCCGCTGTCAGGTGCCACCTCCTGTTGAGTTTGCTCGTGGCCTCTTACGGCTGCACCTTTTGCTTCCCGTCTTTGACCACTGCGGCTATGCTGGCTTTGCCCTGCTTCCTTGGTGATCAGCCTCCGTGTTCCCGTGTCTGTTCCCGCCTGCGTCGACGAGCCAGGCGCCTTGATGATGCCACAGAGCCATCTCCTAATGTCCCCCTCACATCCTCTGCCCGGCCACACTGGGTCCTTGGGATCCTATGTAAATGGCCCTTGTGGTCTCTGCCCTTCCTGGGTGCTATTGCATCTCCCTGGGGCCCTTTCTTTGTTCCCTTTCCCTCGTTCCCTGGCTGAATGGGACCCTCGGCCTCAACACCCCATGTCTGCACCTGGCCCTCAGCTGGCATCCTCGGCTTCGTCTTCCCCAGAGTCCTTGCACTTCCCCTTCATGCTCCTGGCATTTCTTTGTTCTTGCTGCCATCATTATCGCCTGTCTGCCCCGCTGGTTTCCAGGCGCCTCAAGGGAAGGGAGTAATTCTCTTCTGTTCATGCGTCCATCTCTAGCACCTGCTGTGAGGCCTGGAGCGGAGTTGGCCCCCTGATGTTTGCTGAATGAATGAATGAATGCATGAGCCAACAGATGTGGTGTTCTCTGGCTGAGAGTGGTAGCAGCTCTCCCTGCCTCCTGGATGGCCTCTGGACCCCTCCCTGTCATTCTGGGGTCTTTGGCAACTTCGTATCCCCTTCCTTTACCCAGTAATTTCAGCCTTTACGTAGGTTCTAGTGCAGTTGTTAAATTCCCTAGGTAAACATCTATTCTCCTGCGTCTTAATTTTTGCTGTTGTGTTCCTTCTGCTCACAACCCTTCCTCCCAGCAAACACCTTCCGCGCTCCTAGTCAGTGTCATTTCCCCCTAATGTCTGATCCCATGTGGAGACTTCTGAGGCCAGCATCCTCCAAATGATACGTGGCTTGTTCGACATCTTTCTAAGCACTCACCTGTGAGTTTCCTGATACAGGGACTCTGATTCATCCCTGCCCTCCCAGTGTCTAACCAAACACGCACTGCTAGTGGGTATTAAAAATGGATCCTGGGGCCGGCACCGCGGCTCACTAGGCTAATCCTCCACCTAGCGGCGCCGGCACACCGGGTTCTAGTCCTGGTCGGGGCGCTGGATTCTGTCCCGGTTGCCCCTCTTCCAGGCCAGCTCTCTGCTGTGGCCCGGGAGTGCAGTGAAGGATGGCCCAAGTGCTAGGGCCCTGCACCCGCATGGGAGACCAGGAGAAGCACCTGGCTCCTGCCTTTGGATCAGCGCAATGCCCCGCCTGCAGCGGCCATTGGAGGGTGAACCAACGGCAAAAAGGAAGACCTTTCTCTCTGTCTCTCTCTCTCACTGTCCACTCTGCCTGTTAAAAAAAAAAAAAAAAAGGATCCTGGAGCGGACTCTTCCTCCAAATGTAGCCTGTGGGCATTCTTTCCTCCTGCCGGAGAGAATCAGGAGCCGGTGTTAGGGAAGAGTTCTCGGTGCAGAGAGCCTGGCTCCGTGGGCCCCCCTGTATTTGGTGAGGATGTTCATCTCGCCCCTGTGTCATATTCGGCACAGCCGCAGCTCCATTTGAACAGCGACGACGCCTGTTATTTCCCACGAGCGTCACCTCTTCTCATGGCCGTGGTGGGTTCTAGTTGCGGGATGTGGTTCTCTGTGGCCCGTCAGGGAGAGGTGTTTCGGTGTGACTGAGCTGCGAGCCCTTCAGGAAGTCGCTCACACAGGCCGCCCTTTGAGCCTGCACAGCCAGCTTGATGCAGGAGCTTCCTTGGTCTGGGAGGCAGGCCCGTGAGGCTGTGGTGGGAGTTCTTTAAGAGCCAGTATCTTCAGAGACTGTCAGGTCGGAACAGGCTTAGGATATTAATTTTGGAACCGATTTCAGCCCTTGCCCGTGTTTTGTCATAATGCTTTGGTTCACTGTTCCTGCTGCACTTTTTTCC